TGTAATTGGTTATCGCAGTGAAACTGAAACCGTGTATAGAAACAGGTTGAATCAAGACTGAGCAGGGTTGTTTTTGTTTTTTTTTTAAGCCTATCCATTCTCTCTTGGTGCTTTATTGCAGTGGGCTGTGCTGATTTTCTTGTTGCAGTGTGAAAGTGCTGGTGATTTCTGCTCTTGTCCAAATACCAGCCCGTGCACCATAAGTGGCAGTGCCAGGGCATGGGGGCACGGGGACACCGGCACTGCTGCACAGGCACAGCTAAAGCTGCACTGCAGGGCTGTCCCTAATGGGAGAAGTGACTATTGTTATTGTAATTAGAGGAAAGATGTAATTAAGCGTAATGGGCTGAAGCTCTAAATGAGCTCTGTGCTCACACACAGAATTAGGGAAGGAGCAGAAGGTTGGGGTCGAGGCGTGCACTATGGGAGCTGCACTCGGTGCCGTCCCTCCTCCCACGAGCGTGTGCTGCAGCAGCAGTGTGGGCTGCAGCGGCAGTGTGGGCTGCAGTGTCCTCCATTGTCACCCCCTTGTGCCCTTGCTCCTGCAGTGCATTCCCCCTGAAATCTGGCATCCAGCTCAGCTTGCCTAAAGCCAGAGGTGCTGCCTATAGAAGGTTTGCTTTGCAAAGCCTGTGCTGCAGCACCACGCGTGCTTTACTTGCAAGTCGCAGCGTGCACAGTATTCACTCTGATGAGCTTTACCGAGACCAAAGTTAGCGTTTGGCCTGTGCATCTGTTCAACGTGATACCAGCACTTTTATTGCCCTGGGAGCGAACCCAAGCCTCCAGCTGTGGCCAGATTCACCCGCGAGAAGAAGGGAGCCTTGTTGCAGCAGGACGGCTCCCAGCGAGCAGCGCAGAGCGGGGAAACCTGAGAGCCGTGAGGCTGCTGGCTGGGCAGCGCTGTGCTTCTCGGTGTTGCAGCCGAGCACTTTGTCAACTGTTTTTAGAATGTTTCTCCTTGTCTGTGCTGGGAGACTTTGTGCTTCCCTGGCGATCCATTCTCCTTCCGGACCTGCTGGTTGCATCCCATCCCAGCAGCTCATAGAGCCTTTTTGGCCCTGGGAGGCCATATCCAGGCCTTAATCAGCACAACGGGGTAAGCGAGGGCCGTGCAGTGTGCAGGTGTGTGTCCTTTCTGTGTCTGTGCTCTCTGGTTCGGAAGCTGGAGCTGCCCCAGCTATACTGCAGCCCGTCCATGCCCTGCTCCAGCCCTGCACACGTGCTGTGCAAGAGCTGCTGCTGAGTGCAAAAAAAATCTCCTTAGAGTAACTTAGAGATGCATCTGTGATCATTGCCCTTGGTGCTGTCTTCAAGCTTGAGCTGTTTCTTTCCTGACTTACGTTTGCTTTTGACAAAACTCCACATTAGGGCCTCCAGATTTTGGATCACACTGGTGTTCCCACTGATGACCTCACTGACGATCCCCCTTCCAGCTCCAGGCGCCTCGTGCTGTGGTACGACGCTCCAGCAGGCTGCCCCAAAGCTGCCGCTGCGTTCCTGCAGGCAGAGCTCCTGGGCTGCATGCTGGGCACCCCTCTGCAGCTCTGCACAGCAGTCCCCAGTCCTGGGTGCCCTCTGTGCCCTTCTCCCAGCAGCACCGCCTCTCTGTGCCCCCTCCCCTGCCCCATCCCGCTGCCCCCCTGCAGTGCTGGGCTGAACACTCGTCCCACTCCCACCTACACGCTCATCAGCCGCAGCCCAATTAAGCTCCATAATGTGCAGGGATGACTTGAATGCACCCAGGAACATTTCCCAGAACTCATTAGGTTTTATCCCATAAATACCTTCAATTGTGTGCTCAGGCAGCTGCCCGCTCTCTGCCGGGGGTGTGTGTGACCCAGATTGCAGGGATGGGACTGGGGGAGTTGAGGGGGTCCTGGTTGCCCTCGGAAACCCCCCAGATTCCCCCCCCAGTGCTGCTGGGTGCAGCAGTGCCTCTGCCACCCAACTGTCTGTGCTGTCTGTGCTCGTCTGTAATTCATCTCCACGTTCAGTGTGCAGCAAACTGCCGTAGCAGCCTGAGCAGCAGTAAGGCTGCTCACCCCCCATCAGGTTTTCATGTTAACTGGAAGCTTTGCTGGTGGTGATAGACGTGAAATGTGGTTTGACCACTGTGTAGCAGTGTGGTGTAACAGTGTTGTTTTCCATCCTATAGAGCTTGTTAGGCTGGCTACATTGTTTTTTGGGACACTGGGCCACTACTGTGGTGTGGGCTGGCTGCTGTGCAGGGCTCCTGGGGTTTCTCACACCACAGGCTTCTCTGTGAGTCAGTGGGCAGCGAAATGGGTCCCATAATTGGGTTTCTGTACAAGTGAATAGGAGCTGTGGACCAGGCTGGACAAACTGGGTTTGTTAACATCTGTAAAATATAGGAGTGCTGGGGCAGCATTTCCCACAGCTCGCCATGCCTCGCTGCAGCACGTTTGTTACCTGATGCTGATTTCAAGCCTGTGCAAAAAAGAAATATTTACCGTTCCTGTGTGCTTCCCCTGCACTGAAGCCTGACTACCAATTACTCTGTATTAAATTATGTTTGGTCATGCCGGTGATTATACAGTATCCAAGCAACCCAGGCATAATCTAATTTAGCATACAACATGGATTTTCTCTGCTCCCCTTCTCCTTTGTTTTTCTGAGAGTGAATGCGAAGCTGAGTGGCTGCATGGCCTCAGGGCAGCGGTGCTGCAGGGCTGCAGCAGAGGCAGTGCTTACATCAGTGCCTGTGATGCTGCACTGGGTGCTGGCAGGGCAGTGGGTGCTGGGAGGGACAGCCCATAACCAGCCTGGAGCCCAGCTGTGAGCGGCCACTGCTACCCAGGGAGTTGTGCTGGGTTCCCAGCTCCCATCTGTGCTGCAGGAGACTGCAAAGCGTGGGTGGAGAGAGCCCTGAGAAGGGACCCAGCTAAATTACTGCCAGTGCAATTGATTTCAGAGTGCACCGAGGGCCAGGAAGAAACAGCAGGTTAAAAGGAAAATGCAGCAAATACTTGTAAACCTTCTGGAGGGCAGCTCTGGTGTGGAACGAGCGATGTCTGCAGAAAGCATCTGTGAAAAGCACTGGCATTAGGGACACTTTGGTTGAGAACACCCCATCTTTAGAAACCAGGGCATTATTTGCTGGTACAAAGGCAGATGAAGAGGTATAATTTATAGTAAATCATCCTGTGGATAATGGATGTGGAATGCGAAGGATGTGAAAGGTGAATCATGTTTTGTAGCATAGCTTTAGTAACCATTATAAAGGCGGCTGGTGGAAAAGTACCCGCGGTGCAGCATAGCGCTGCTGTGCCACCCTGTTTGTTCCAGCAGGGACCGAGGGCTGTATGGTTACAAAATGTTGGCCCTTTGCAGAGCCGAAGCACCAGGGCACAGCAGAGTGGGGCTGTGTGTGCAGCAGGGCCCTGTCCTCCTTGGGAACCCATTAATGCTGCAGTCTGTAATAATTAACGGGACTGGATACGGCTGCCTGGCGGTAATAAGTCAATGACAGGGCAATTTATTAGAGTGATGTATCGCGTGATAATGGTAATGAGAAATGAAGGGACCTAATTTTGTAAGACTTAGATCAATTTGGTTGTTTTTTTTATAAATGAACATTGTTTTAGTAACCACGGAAGATCATTACAATTATTATTTTATTAGTGCTATTCACAACTATTTCGGTTTCAGTCTTCTGAGACCCAAATGGGAGCATAGGAGCGTGTGTTTGAAATGCAGATTGTGCTGCAAGGTGAAAATTCCAGTGGCATTTGTAAATGTCTATTAGGGAGGTGTGGGAGGAGGAAAGGGATTTGGGTGCGTGGCTGCGGGGCCGCAGTCTGCAGGCAGGGGGGGCTTCTCAGATACCGCGAGGAACATCCAGGGCTTCCTGACACTGGGGAGGTGATGAGTAAAAGGGATTTCTGCACCTTTGGGTTGGAACACAAGCGCTGGCATTCTCAGTGTGCTGGTGTGTGTGCTGCAGGGCTGGAACATGCAGCAGACCAGGCTCCTGTCTGCATTGAGCATGGGGACAAGACTGCGTGGAGCAGGAGCTCCAAACATCCCAAGATCTGCTGCTGCCCCTGCTGTCACCCAGGAAGCCCTGTGTAGGATGAGGAGTGAAGAGTTTTTCTCTGACTCAAATGAGGCTTGGATGGAGAAGGATAGATAGCTTATTTTATTTTGAGTTTACACTGTGCTGAAATGAGCTGCGTCTGCACGCGTGATGAGCGCTGCAATCTTAGTGCCGTGATCAGCAATAAAAGCTCATGGCAATAACTTGCAGCAGGGCCTGAGTTCTGCTGTGCTCTCCATGTGGTCCCATGTGCTCTCCAGGGAGAGAGATGACAGGGAAAAGGCATTGCTCTAAAAACATAGGATACAGTTCTGTGCTGACACTGTCCGAAGTCACTGAGCTTCCTGGTTGAAGAGGGCAGGAAAAAACCACAGATTTGTGGTGATAGGGCTGTGGGCTCCTGCTGCACGTCCTCCTTGTCACCTCCTTGTGACTTGCATTCACTGCATGACGTGTCACCATGTGGCCTGTCTGGGAGCAAGGCTCCAGTGTCCCTGTGTTCCTGGCTGGGAGGTTTCCTCGCCCGGCCCCCTGCAGCCAACGCGATGGGGCTGAGCCGTGAAGGCAAAAAAACGGGTGAGAAAGGATTGGATTTTGGAACATATGAGGTCACTTGTTCAGCTGGAGAGCAGCATGTGTCAGAGGTCCAACAATTTGTTTTTAGAAGGGTTTCAAGCATTAATGATTCAAGATGTTTTCCTGGGAGTGGTTTGCAACATGAGCCTCGGTGGCCGGGAAGCGTTGGGGTTTGATGGGATTAGCCAAATCCTGAGCTGCAATGCCTGCCATAACACAACCGTTGAGGCTGTACTTTTCCACATGGCTGAAGCTCCCCAGAAGTGTCAGGAAAGCAAACAGACTCATAAGCCTGGTGCCAGGCAAGGATGGGGGTCCATCCTGATTGCTCCCATCACCTACTTCTGTTGGTTTTCTTTTGCAGAGTTGCAGATAACCACAAGCAGAACCTGATGACTGTTGCTAATCTGGGTGTGGTGTTTGGGCCGACGCTGCTTCGACCCCAGGAGGAAACAGTCGCTGCCATTATGGACATCAAGTTTCAGAATATTGTGATTGAAATTTTAATAGAAAACCATGAGAAGGTAAAGACTTTACTTGCTTCTATCACTACAGTTTATTTCCTACAGCTGATTTGTCACTTTGCAAGCTGCAGCCCAGTTCCCCAGGGCCCTCCTTGCTGACTGTGGCCAGCAGCCATAAAGGGCCCAACTCTGTTCCTGCTTTTCTGACTACATCCAAGCACTGACGTTCTCCACAGCGCTGATCTGCTGTGACAAGGCACAGTTGTGTCTGTTGCAAGGAGGCTCCCACCTGTTGCTGCCTCTGTTGGTGCAGCACTGCAGTAGCTCTGCTGCAGCTGGAGGACATCCTGCCTAGGGCACTCACTGACCCCTGGGTTTCTGGTCACCTTCAGGGTGATAACAGGAGGAGGCTCTCAAATGAGTGCCCGTGGGAGGCCATGTAATTCAGCAAATGGCAGAGTGCTTGTGCATGCGTGGAGTGGCAGTGAGGCACAGCATCCTGCAGGGCCACTGTCCAGAGGTGGTGTGTTGCTGAACTTCCCATGCAGTGCTGCTGGGTGCCTGTGATATGAAAGCAGCCTGGGCTAAGGAGGATGTGATGCTCGGGGCTGTCTGCTACTCGGGGCTCTTTCCAGAGACTGTTAGCCCATCAGTTGCATGTGTTAAGCTGCAAGGCTGAGTCCCACGTGCATGTGATGCAGGTGTCAGCCCTGGGGCTCATCTGCCTGGTGCTGCCAAAGGGCAGCGAGTGCATGTCCAGCAGGGATGGATTGCGTGTTGTTGGAGAAATTTCCTCCAGAGGCAGATAAACATCGTGGTATTTATTTAGCGTGGAGGAGTTATTTTCTCTTATCTTTGTGGGGTGCAGTTACAGTGATTGCTTAATCGTGTGCTGCTGCAGAGGGGAGTGCGAGCAGCGGCCGTGAGCCTGTGGCTGAGCCCCAGCCCTGTGCTGAGCAGCAGGCATGAGCCTTGTGGGGCTGTGGGTGGCCATCCACCCATCTGTCTGTCCATCCATCAGTCTGTACGTCTGCAGTGTCCCAGCAGTGGCACCAGGAAACCATTCAAGCACTGTGTCACTGCTGTGGGTGCACTTCGCTGTCTCTTTCCTCGCTGAGCCCTATGGCTGCCTTCCCCTCGCAGGTCCTTGCAGCAGCAGGGCCTCAGGCTGGTTCTTGTTCATTTCCAGCCGAGCCTCCTCCATCAGGTGGCACCTGGGGGGATTGATGATGGATTTCTGCGGTGATGGTCTGTGTGGGCTGCAGTGCTGCTCACCAGCAAAATGACACCTGTGCCGCAGGGCTCCCGAGTGCTTCCATGGCTACCCTTCCTTAGGAGTAATTTATGGCACCAGCAGAAGGGAAGGCTGTGACTGGGCTGTGTGCTGCCGTCACGCCGACTGCGGGTGGGCGTAAGTGCTGCGTGCTGTCTGTGCTGCCCGGCTGCTCTCATGCACTGGGTACTGATGGTACAGGATGGAGAGATGCTGTTTGCACTGCCTGCACAAAGGCACGGGTACTGCGTGGCACAGTGATGCTGCATGCAGGATGCTGTTGGGCCCATGTCCCCATTTCTCCTAGATTCTCCAAGGAAGAGGGAGGTGGCAGGAGGCAGCAACTGGGAGGAAAATCTCTTCTACAGTCAGCCCCGGTGCTGGTTCACTCCCTCTTTAGGACTGTTTAGTTTCAGTGTATTCCTTAATTTGAATTGATTGGAACTCATTGAAGTTTCCCTGCAGGAGCTGCTGTAGGTGATTAGCAATATGCGAGCCCTCTGTGCTGCGCTGCTGCTGCTTTATATTGTTTTACGCTGGTGACTCACAGCCACTGTTTATGATTAAGTGCATTCTCAGGGAAAATGTAATTGATTTGAATGGTTCCTGGCAATCAGCGACTGTCTGGTATTACATTATATTTCCCTCAGGTAAGTGGGACGCTTCTCCCATTAAAATTGCTGTTGTCACAGTGAGGCACAGAGCACTGGGCTGTGCGTGTGCCCAGAGCTCCAGTGGGGTGGATGGGAGCCCTGAAGCACTGGAGCTGGGGCAGATGTGCAGTGTATGTTTGTGAGAGCAACGCAGCAGCGTAACCTGCTGCAGGACACGTGTGGGATGCGTGCTTTTAAAGGATAAAATGGTTTTTCTGCTATGGCTCAGGATGTTACCATGACAAGCAAACTGAGAGTGAATCCTCTGCAAGAAACCAAGGATGCAGTGTTGTATTGGAAATTTGCAGCTCCAATGCTTTGGAAAAGGCATTTTGTATGAAGTGTTGGGAAATGATGAGATCAATGCACAGTGCTGCTGGTGCTCCCTTCAGATCAAGGAAGGGGCAGCTGACCTGTGAGTGGCACCTTGCTGCCCACCAGCAGGGCTGGTTTCTGCAGGGTGTTACCCAGACCCCAGCACTGCCTCAGTCAGTACTCAGAGTTAACGCTGAGGTCAAAGCCCTCAGCACCTCATCTTTATTTTCTGCAATTAGCAAAACTTTGTAGCAGCGACTCCCTTGACCTTGGAGCTTCCAGCTGAGGCTGGAGGGCAGCTCCTTGTGGAGCATCTCCTAGGTTTGGCTGCGTTCCACCAGGGGCGCGGGTTGCTCCAGGAGCCTCCAGCTGTACAGCGAGCATGGGGGCTGTATGTGTAATTTATGGAGCCTGGCTGCTCCTCTCCCACTCTGATGATTAAACTGTCTCGCTGTCTCTGTTAATTGGATTCTGGGATAGGAGAGTTAGAACACAGGTTTGCTCAGTGAGTTATTTTTCTTAAACTGAAAAGTGAAACAAACCGAAGAAGCATTGAAATGAAGGAAAGCAGAGCTCCATGTGCTGCTGGGCAGGCTGGCAGGGCTTCTAGGGGTGATGCTGCAAGACCGCTTCTGTCTGTTATATGGCTCTGGGTCCTCTGACTCCTCCCTCTTCAGAGCTTCAAAATAAGCATTGGTGCTTTTGGACAGGCAGCTAGCTCTCGACTTTCCTCTGTTGAGAGTGGTCACATTTAGCCTCGGTGCTGTGTGCCACCCTTAAGGGGTTGGGAGGCAGCTCGGTGTCACTCTGCCTCTGTGTCCTGCTAGTCCAGCTGTGCCCTACCATTGTCCAACTGTGCACTGCCACGTTTGCATACCTGGGTGCCTGCTGGGGTTCTTGCCCAGAGCATTCTCCCACCACCTGCACTAGTGAAGGGCACTGCAGGCCCTTCACTAGAGGCAGCCTACCAGGTTGTTGGGGTTTTTCACATTTTGCACTGTGTGCATTTGGTGAAGAGGAGAGAAAAGGAGTGCAAACAGAATGAGAATGTGGAGTTTAGGAAACGATGTCCCACGTGTTACTTTATTGAATGCGTGACCTCCGTTAATGCTGTTCCTTGGTGTGATGGCGGGATGCTGAGGGCAGAGAGCTGCTCTGCTTGAGCAGCTGATGCTGAAGAGCCCTCTTTGTTGGCTTTCACAGATATTTAACACCGTGCCGGAGACGCCGCCGTCGAACTCGCAGCTGCTGCTGTCCCGCAAGAAGAGCGCAGACTCGAAGCCCCCGTCGTGCAGTGAGCGGCCGCTCACCCTGTTCCACACCGCGCAGCACAACGAGAAGCGTAAGCGCCCCCTCCCCAGCCCTGCCCCGTGTCACTGCGCAGCACCGTTCCCCTGCCGTGGAGCACAGCTGTGCTGGTGCTGATGAAAGATGCGTCCTGTAAGGGGACGGCGCCTCTGGTCACTGCGCTGCTGTGCTGATGGGGAGTGCGCTGCCTGCCTGGCATCCCAGGCTGCAGCAGGCTTGGTGCAGGTTGCACTGATGTGCTATAGGGTTGCTGCCCCATTCCCAAGTCCCCAGCAGCTGAAGGGCACAAGGCAGAGCCCGTGGGGTGTCCAAAGTTGATCCTTATTTCTTGCTGGATGCCCACAGGCACTTTTACAGATATAGCAGCCCCGGCCAGGATGTTCTGTATTTTTCTGTGGAGTAGGTGCTATGATGGTTTAAAAATGTTGATCGTCTTTCCATTTTGGTCTCTGTTTGGTGCTCCGGATATGTTGGTGAAGGAGTCAGCACCTCCTCCCATCTACTCTGCACACGGCTGTCTCGCATGCTACGGAGCAGAAATGCACAGCAGGAGTTTGCTGTTCTGCTCCCTGAGCTGTGAGACTGAGCTGAAAGCCTTAGCAAAGAATCCTTTGCTTAAACCGAACGCGGTATCAGACTTTCAGAAAGGAGGAAATAGAATAAAGGGATGGTTTCCAATTCTGCCATTCATCTCCCATCTTCTGTAGATGAAACACTTCCCGTTTCTTGGCTGATAGGGACTTTAATTCAATGTTGGCTGGTAGCTGTGTCTGAGATTACACAGACAATTGACATTGATTTGTTAGGCTTACAGAGCTTATTTTCGAACTTTAGCCTCAGGCAGAAAATGTTTAGAAACAACTGGATGTGGCATCTGAATAGGCTGCAGGGCACTGCTGGGCCGTGCTGTGCACAGAACGGCTCTGAAAGCTGTGCTGTTGGGAGCAAAGATCAAGGAGTGCTTTGGATCGACCTTTTTGGGGCTTTAGGCCCTTTGGCAGGTTAATTTCTCCCTTATTTCGTCTGCTGGCTGCTCTGTCTTCCAGTCAGTGTTTGGAGAGTTCCCTTGATGGCCTGCTGGAGACCAAGATTCATGGCATGCAGTTTCAGGAACTGGTAATGTGTGTTGATGCAATTATCTCATCCTTGGCATTGGCTGGTCTCTGGATGGCAGCCTGATCTAAATGGCGTTTGAGCCTCTCGCTGCCTGGTAAGCACTCTGACTTTGTCCAGGCAGCACAAGAACTCGATGGCACGATGAGCGATGTGACGAGGAGTGCTGGTTCGCTCCTCCCTTTGCAGCCATGTCCTTTTGGGCACGTCATCATTTTCTTTTGAAACGGTGGCAGAGGGCTCACCCAGCATCCCACCTCCCTGACCCTGAGGCAGCACTGCTCCCAAGCTATTTTCCAGGCATGCAGGGTTTCCTCTCTGCTGTGTGCTCAGGATCAGCTCTCCATGTAGCTCGGGAGTTTCTCTTACACTGCTTTCTCCTTCTGCAAGTATTAATTGTTGTCCTAATGCAGATGTGTAATTGGAAGGGATGTATAGTTGGATGGGCTTGAGAATAGGGGCTTCTTTGTGACCGTGTGCTTTTTAGTAGCAATTTCATCATATCAGCGTGCACAGGAGATACAATTCCTTTGAAAGATTTGTCATTAAAGGAGCACTGCTTGTGTTTTCCAGCAGTTGTCTGTCTTTCAGGAAACATCATCACAGAAGTGGCAGTTCTCTGCAGTAGAGCAGCTTTCTGTGCCATCAGTGATGATAATTGCCTCTCTCAATTACAATTGCTGCTTATACGGAAAAAGCATCTTATGAAAATGAATTAATGTGATTTTAGGTAATTCAGCACAGAGATGAGGAGGAAACCCATGCTGGGGAGGTTGCTTTGGGATGCATAATGTTTTCACACCTCAGTGCTGAAGTTACACAAATAAGGGGGACAACTCTTAGCAGGGCAGGATGGAGGGAAATGAAGAGAGCTGAGTCCAGGCTGTGTGCAGTGAGCTGGGCAGCAGGGCAGGTCTCTCTCCTCACTGGTGTTATCAGCAGTGCTGCATGGTGGTTGTGGACCTGGGCAGGAAAGGCAGCTAGTGGCTGATGTTATGTTCAGACTGAAGCATTTTTTTGTTGGGATGAACTTCAATTGGGTGATCTGTCCTTTTCTCCTTCCATAACTGTTATCCCCTCTGTGGTACCTGATTTCAGCCACAGACAAATGCATTCCTGTGTGTAGTCTCATCCCTTTCTTTCTTGGGTCATGTGGGCCTTTGGAAGTCCTTGGGAACGTAAAACATTAGTATCTTGAGAAAAATCAGTGTTTTGTTGCTAAAAATGTCATTCGTTTAAAATGTTGTTGCATCTTCGGAAAGAGAAAAGAATAACTGTTACTTCTCATACTTCAATGCATAGTGCATAGAAAACATGCCTGGGAACTCAGTGCCTGTCTGTGGAGGTCTGGTAGGATGCTGCTGCATTTACGCTGGGGCAGGAGTGATGGGCAGGAGCCTGGCTGCCTCTGTCCTGCAACTCTTGGGGGTTTTTTTTGGTGTTTTCCAGAGGAAAACAGGAACAGCATCATCAACTCCAGCCTGGAATCCGTCATCTCTTCAAATGTAAACAGCTTCCTCAACTCCAACAGCGCGCCTCAATCCAACCTGAACTCAAGTGATCTCGAACTAGAAGTAATTAAACCCAACAGGCCAAACTCACTGTAAGTACGGTGGTAATTAGTGTTTTATAGGCTCACCGTCCTTAATCTTTAATCAGGGCTGTTTCTCGCTCTGAATCCCAGCAGTTTGTTGAAGAATGCAATTTAATGCTTTAATTTTTAATGGCCGCTCGGGGTGCGTCCTGCACGTCTCGGTCTGAGCAGTGGGATTGGGGGGGGGGTTTGCTCAGCCTGCTCCTGCAGGGTGTGCTCCAAGCAGAGCCCCGCACTGCTGTTTGAACTGCTTGACCCATCTGGAGATAACTCCAGCAAGCACAAAGGACTATTCTTCTGACTTAAATCTATGACTGTTGTCAGTGCCGTTGATCTCCAGCCAAATCTGTGCCATTGCTTCTGCTATTGCTTCCTTCATCTGAAAAGTTCAAGGGAAAAAATAGCGACCTTAGCAACGACTCCCGGGGGATGGCGGAGTTATTTGTGCAGTCCCCTGGATTTGACACAGCCTCGCACGGCGAACGGCTCTGCCATGGGGAATTTCCTTCCTGCCGTGGTCCTGCTGGGCTGCGCATTTTCCCACAGAACTCCTCTCCTGCACACATGAAGATGTGCTCTGAGCCCCGCAGCCGTGGTCCCTCGAGCCCAGGCTGATTCCCCGCGTCCACGCGGGTCTGTATGGGGAGGCCTTCCTGCCCCGTGTCCCCGTGCAGCCTGCAGCGCAGCCCCTTCTCACCAGCCCTGCAAACAGGCCCTCAGGAGCCCGCGGTGAACACTTGTGTTCAGCAGTTTCTCCTGGGTCCCCACAGAAATGGCTCGGTGCCGCTGCTGGTGCTCCTGGCCACGGCTGTCCTGCCTGGCGTGGGGTGCGGCGCTCGGGCAGCAGCGTGTGCTGAAGGTAAGTGCACAACATGTGCAGAGCAGGGCTCTGGCTGTCACCCATCGGCTTCACCTCCTTCCCACCACCTCTGCTGCCCCAAACAGCCAGGCCTCGTGCCAAGGCTGCACGTTCCCCGATCTCAGTGCTGCTGGTGGCCACCGTGGGACGCCGTGATGTGGAGGTTCCTGTCCGCAGGTAGGACAGCTCTGTGCTCAAAGCTGGGTTTTAAAGTTTGCTGAGATGCCTTCGTTTGTCTTTAAATATCTGTTTTTGACTTCATTTGTGGTCCCTTGAAAATGTTATCGCTAGGTTTCTTCCACATTGCTGTGGTAGCTGAACGGACCCAGATTGTTCTGTTCCCTTTGCTTGCAGCTGGCTCCATCTGGCCCACGGTGCTCAGCCCTACTCCAGACTGGGCAGGCTGGGGGCAGCAGCAGGAGGTGTAGGTGGGACGGTTGGGGTCAGAGCAGCCTGAGTGGTGCCAGTGTCCCACAGCGCTGTCCTGTCTGCCCTGCTGTGCGAATAGCACCTGTACAAAGCTGGCCCTGTTCCGTTAAGCAGTTGCAGTGGCTGGGGCTCTGCAGTAGTTCCCAGATGCCCTTGGGCACTGAGGTCAGTTGCTGTTATCTGTTGGAGCTGTGAGTTTCCATCGCTCCGCTGTAGTTACAGGAGCAGCAGTGTGGGTGCGTGGCAGCAGGCAGGCTGTGTTGCTGCCTTGCTCTTGGTGCTTCCTCAGCTCTGTGCCAAACTCTCTGCCAGACCTGTGAGACCCATTGTGGAGCTCCTCTTCAGTTTGTTGTTTTCTTGCATTCTTCACTGTTTTCTTTGAGTTTCTGGCTGTGGGTCAGGGCTGCCCCATCTTGTCTCAAGGCCGGGGCAGCTCACTGCGCTGTGGTGTCAGTGCCTGTAGCACAGCAGCTGCAGAGCCCCAGGTGTGAGGAGGATGGGAAGCCCTGCTTTCCTCTTGTAGAGAAAAAAGGATTTCTTTTTGAACAAAGAATTCCTTAAGAGAACAAGCAAGGAATCCTGGATTTGGTGCTTCCTTCCATAAAGCAGCAACAGCACAGCTTAGTAAATTAAAAACTACCCCAAAACAGAATTGATTTTGTTCTTTTTTTTTTTTTTTTTTGGTGTCTAAAGTTACCACTGAAACAGAGGAGCTGTTGGACACTGCATGCAGCCATTGCTGACCACAGCCTTTTACCTCTTTGCTTTGCTGCTGTCTAACAGGCAGGTTTGGTGCCATTGGTTGCCCTGTCTCAAGCCCCTGGCCGATGTGGGCATGGTGACCCTGGTTTATTCACTTCTCATATGTTTCTGCTTACATGAGTTAGAACTGATAACTGCTGATCTCAATAGACTTGTTGGAGTAAAGTCAGTTGTGTCCAAAGGAGGACAGGAGCTGTGAGGGGTCTGGAGCACACATCCTATGGGAAGCAGCTGAGGGAACGGAGGTTTTCTAACCTGAATAATTCTGTGGTTCAGTGGTGAAGAATTACAAATGCAGGGGGATTTCTCGATTTTGTTTTGCTGCAGTGAGCCCTGGTACATTGCGAGGTGGCCTTAAAACGTGGCATTAAATAACTGAGCGCTGTCTGTGGGGGTGGAGACGTGTGAGCTTTGTGCACCCGGCTCCCCATCCCAGCGGTGCCGTGCTCTCAGGCCTGCTCTGTGCTCCTGCTGCTCACATCTCATGCAGAGCAGCCGCTCTGCCTGTGCCTGCATGTCAGGGGTTTGCCTTCCTCAGTCCTGGTCCTCCATCACCAGCCCGGAGGGAAATAGTTCAGCTGTGGGACGAAGGCTCTTCCTTCCCAGCCACCAATCAGGGTTTTACTATGGGAATGCGCTGATTTATTGGGGCTGGGTTTATTTTTATGGAAGAAGCGCTCGGGGCGGGAGCTGTGCTGTGAGTCAGCAGGGCTGCTCCCCGCCAGGCGCTGTCGCTGGGCACGAGGGAGCGGAGCGGCTGCCTGCTGCCACCCCCTGCATGGGCGCTTCTTTCTTTTGAAACGATCTCTGGTTTTCTTCACTTCTGACGTTGCAGAAAGCTGCTTTAGAAGACGTGGCAGAAAAGCCTGTGTTTCTACCACCGATGGATCCTTCAGCTGCAATGGGGGAAGTTTTCGAAGTAAACTGTGTGATCACGGTGATTTGAGAGTGAGGTTATTAAAATCCCCCAAGCGAGCACCTCGCTCTGGTGGTGCGGAGATGCATTCCTGTGGGGCTGTGGCTCGGTCCCTGCAGATGACCGCAGGAGCTGCTTTTCAGCTGGGCATGCTGGGCTGATAGCCTGCTTGGTACCTGCCTCCTGTTTCTTGTTCTCTCTTTATTTCCTGGCCTTGTCTGTACCCTGTGCTGCCCGCAGACCCCAGCTGCCTGCAGGAAGCTGGCCGTGCTCTGGGTGTGTGCAGCTGAGCAGGGCTGGGTGCTGTAGGCTGGCTCGGTGGCATTTGCTTGCATATGTAGTGAGTTCAGTGCCTGAGTGTGCAGCTGCTGCTGCGTGGCACTGCTGCTGCGTGGCACTGCTGCTGCGTGGCACTGCTGCTGGGTGATGCTGCTCCTGCTGCTGGGTACTGGAGTCTGTAAAATCAAGGGCAGCTGGGGCTCACTGGATACTGTGGATGGAGCAGCAAGGGTTTCAGTTTCTCCTCTCTTGGCAATTTCTTTCTGTGCGTGACTGTTCTGGAGGTGAGGTGGGGCCAGCTGATTTTCTCCATGTAACCAGACAGGCGGGATTTTTTGTACTGCAACTCCACAAAGTCATCAGCCTGAGCTCTTGTGACTGTGAGCATGCAGCAATGCCCAGGGGGCTTCTGCCTTCCCTTTCAGAAGGAGAGCTTTGCACCACAAGCACAGGGTGCCTGCCACTCTCCGAGTGCTGTGTGCCCAGCAAACAGCACCGTGCTGTGGGAGGAGAACGCTTCTCCCTTCCTGGAGTCCTTGGCTGTGTTTTTGCAGTGCTGTTTCCCAATGGTAGCTCTGAGCATTTATTTTATCACCTCCCACCCTTTTTAATGTTTTGCTGCCAGTGAAGAATGTTCCACTGCTTCTGATACAATAAAGTGCAGCCCAACAGTACTTTTGGGATGGTTCTAAGTCACATGGAAATTTCCAAACAGTTACTTCTTAGAGTTTTCTAATGCACTCTTAGGGATAGTTGATTTCTGAAGTTACAAAACCCTCCGTGTGTTATTGAGCAGTGTTCTCAGAGACAAAAGCTCCCATTTCTGGGCCGCCTGTATGGCAGCGTGCCTGGGGACCCGGCCAGCACTCGTGGGACCTGGCAGCTATGGGAGGGTCGTGCAGAACTGCTCTGCCCTCAGCCCTGAGCATCAGAGAGGGGCTCTGGGGACACCCGCAGAGTGTGGGTTGAAGGCAGCAGTGGACTTTGCTTTGCTTTGTTGGACTGTGTTGTGCTGTGCTGTGCTTGTTGTGCTGCGCCATGCCATGCCATCCCTGCCATGCTGTGCTGTGCTGTGCTTTGCCCTCACTGGAGCACTGCAGGCAGCACATGGCTCCACAGCTCTCTGAGTGGTGACAGGGCAATTCAATCCCAGGGATAATTTTAGAGCAGGTTGTGAGGCTGTCCTTTCGTGAGGACACTGCAGCTCCCGCCATTGCAGGCGGGCGCCGGGCAGGGAGCAGGGGCAGGCTGTCCTCACACGCCTCGTCCACGCTGGGCATCCGTCCTGGCACAGCGCTGGGGTGAGCCTGGCTGCAGAGCCAAGCACGAGGCTTCCAAGGCACAGCCGGGCACTTGGAATCATGAAAGCCCCACAGGAGCCCCTTGGTTTGGGATGGAGGCCAGGAGCTGCCCAGCTCACCCCAAACTCCGGGAGCCGGGGTATGGTGGGAAGTGGGGGCTGCGGCTGCCGGGGGGTGGAGGGGAGGGGGGCAGAGCCGGGGTGCCTTTCGGGGGCCCAGGGAAAACCACAGAGCCTGAAGAGCAGGAACCAACATGGTTGTGAAGCATGGAGGTGGGGCAGGAGGATTTACCTGAGCAGAGCAGGCACAAAAATGCACATTTTTCTGTGAGGTGCGACCGGAGCGTCAGTGGTGTGGGTGGCTGTCTCCAAAAATACCAGACACACAGCTTTGGGTTAGCTTTGTTTTTCACAAATCCCAAGAAGGTACCTGCCAGCAGGACGTGGGAAGGCATCCCCAGGCT